ACATTGACGCATTCCGACATAAAAAAAAGAATGCGTGAATGTAAATGTAAAAATTGAACAATTCCAAATCATCGGAAAGACTGAAAATGAGCAACTGCTAAGGTTAAAAGAAACGTTAGCCATAAAGAACTTAGCACCTGAACTAAACAAGTTTATTTAGTTTGTTTGAATTTACGCACAAAGCTACACAATGGGCTATTTGTGTTCTGCCCACCATTACGTGTTTGAAATTACCTTGTGTTATTTATTTAAATATAACTTGTTATAGAAAACCACTACCCTTACCTAGAATAAGCTAGTGCCTAGACATTGAAATTTAAAAAAAACAAGTTACAAAAAAAGCTTAATTATGTTCGCGGCCCCCTCTATTGACATGAAATACAAGCAGGTCTATCTGAAAATTAATGTATTTTTAAATCTTTTTGAAATTATCAAGGGTTTTTACTTAAACAAAAACAAATATATCTTCCCTAGGTAGAAGAAACGCAACTCTATTTCTTTAGTTCATCAGCTGCAATAAAAATATAATATATATAAGTGTATGTGTGTGAGTATGAGTGTGTATGCATATATATATAATGTTAATAGATGGCGCTATATGATGACCCATCTTCTACGAGAATTTTTGAAAAATATCTCAATAACATTATTTCATTTTAATAATACTTTATACCACATTGAAAGGCAAATTTGTCACTTAAACAGAAAGAGGCAGAAATAGAAATCACTGTATAATACAGATGACAATCGATTATTTCAAATACTCGATATCAAAATCACAGCAGACTTGATTCCATGTTGTTATTACCACATGTTTATGCCACCATTAACAATATAACATTTTCAAAGGAAAGTTTAAAATACTATTCCCCAAGTGGAGCTTTGATTTATATTCACTGTTTATTTTATCATTCACATTCAGTGCCTCCAAAGAGATTACCTATATTCAGTAGAGCGATTAAGTAATATAACGAATATAAAAAGTCTGAAAAAAAAAATTTATTTTTCATATATATTTAAGAAATTACTTTGATGATTTGTTTTTATAAAATATATGAATAAAGCAGACAAAACCCCCAAATAACTAACAGAAAACAAATTAATATACAACAGATAAATAGTAGAAAAGCAAAAATTAATATCTTCAACAGTAAAAAAATTATAAATGTAATTTTATCATATTTTAAATATGATATTAATAACTTTCTCGGAACCTGATGGAGAATAGTTACCTTTCATAGTGTCTTCGTGTGCAGGTGGCAGCACTTGTACTCCCTGGATTACCACCCAGATCATCATAAATTCGTTTCCAAAGTTTTTTGTCTGTGATCTAGTGCAAACAAGTAGCAGTGAGTAAAACTATAATACGGAAAGTTATAACATCGAGTAAAAATAGGATATAAAAAAAAGACGCAATTGAAATTGAAAGATATAACACTCTGTAAACAAGAGAATACAGAAACGTGTCGTGTAAACACGAAGATTTAACAGACTGGTTTATGACAGAGAGAAAATAAAACGATCATGTACGAAATGTAATTAGAGACAGATTATTAAATCTCTAGGGTACAGAAATATCGTTGAGTCAACATTAATACACATAGGATTTAATATACGCACAGATATAGAGACAGGCAGATAAAAAACAATAAAAATATGTGAAACCTAGGCATTCTTAAAGATAACGTTTGAATTAATAAAGTAACATGTAGAAACTGGTAGACTTGGTTTTATGTATTTATGTATATGCATGCCATAATAAAATCTTGTCCAACTTCCACAGTTTTCAGGAAGAAAAAGTTTAATGTACAGAGAACCAACAGGTATATTCAGTTGAAAATGTGTAAGTTATATAAAACCAATAGAAATATTTGTTTGAAAATTCTTAATGTGTCGAGAACCAGCACGATTAGTTATTAGAAAATGTTTAGATTATACAAAACCAAAAAAACATTTGTTAAGATCACAGATCGAACTCCGGATTTTAGCTCTGCAAGTCCATAGACTTACCACTGTCCGATCGGGGGACATACACACACAAACAACAACAAATTACTGGTCATATTAACGTCCATGATTCAAAATAAAAAAAGTACGGTTCATTTCAGCAATGTACTGACATGGTATTTTCAAATGTAAAAATCAGATGTTATATTTATTATTCTGAATCCTTCACATAACAACATACAATATTCAACAGAAAAACAGGTAAGCATAAATAGAACAAACAGGCAGAATTCCCTTCCAATAAAAACCCTTTCATAACGTCAATAACGATATATTTTCCTTCAAAACTTTGACTGTGTTAAAGTTCTAAAATATTTACTTGTGTACAAGTTATACTAGCGTTACTTCTCACAAAATTTATATAAATAAGGCAACATTGTGCAATAAACATTATTTCAAAATATACACAAAACAACGTTTACATTACACAATAAAATATAAAAAATTTAAAATGACTACAGGTTTCGGAAGCTTTCGCTACCATCATCAGTTTGGTTTGGTTTGTTTTGAATTTCGCGCAAAGCCACACGAGGGCTATCTGCGCTAGCCGTCCTTAATTTAGTAGTGCAAGACTAGAGGGAAGGCGGCTAGTCATCACCACCCACCGCCAACTCTTGGGCTACTCTTTTTACCAACGAATAGTGGATTGACCGTCACATTATAACGCTCCACGGCTAAAAGAGCGAGCATGTTTGGTGTGACGGGGATTCGAACCCGCGACCCTCAGATTGCGAGTCGAGCGCCCTAACCACCTGGCCATGCCGGGCCCACCATCATCAGCATGATGATAGTATTGAAAGCTACTGAAACATGTTGAGCCATTTTTTATTTTTTTTATTTTATTGTGTAATGTAAAAGTTGTCATATCTATATATTTAAATAAAATGTACTAGCTTGTTAATTATGCTTTGGTCCTCATTATATAAAGCAACATCTACAAATAAATTTCTTTAATATCAAAGAAGTGTATAAAGTTGAATAGCATTTTTACCGTTTCGTATCCTCCAAGTTTCTTGGCGAATTTGTAAAAATAATACAAATTAACTGCAACAAGAAAAATAATTAAATATTAGTACACACTTTTCATTGAACACTTGTCAACCTAACTCATATAAATATAATAATTAAATAGAAGTGAGGTAATAATAGAAGAGAACAAGGAATATTTTAGGCGAGTTACTTGAAACAATAATATTAGGTCGTCCAAAATTAATGTCGCAATTTGGTTTGTTATGAATTTCGCGCGAAGCTACACGAGGGCTATCTGCGCTAGCCGTCCCTAAGTTAGCAGTGTAAGACTAGAGGGAAGGCAGCTAGTCATCACCACCCACCGCCAACTCTTGGGCTACTCTTTTACCAACGAATAGTGGGACTGACCGTCACATTATAACGCCCCCACGGCTGAAAGAGCGAGCATGTTTGGTGTGTGACGGGGATTCGAACCCGCGACCCGTGAACGTTGCTTCGTCTCTTCTGGCGCGTAATGCCGTCACCGGTGATGAAAAATGGATTCTCTATGCGAATATTAAACGCCAAAAACAATGGCTCAGTCCTAGACAAAAACCACTTCCGACCCAAAAATTTTTTTTCGAACTCCTCAATCCACAGCGAACTGTCAATGCAGAGATCTACAGTCAGCAACTGGAACGTTTAAATTAAGCCTTCATCAGAAACGCCCTTCACTCGTCAATCAGAAAGGTGTTCTTCGACCACATGTGGTACGTTTGACGCAAAGCAAGATTATGGAATTGGGTTGGGAAGTTCTCCTACACACACTGCACACGTTCGCTGCAACACCATCTTAATGGGAAAACGTATGAAAATGTGAAATATGTTAAAGAGGACATCGACATGTTTCTTGCCTCAAAGCCAAGTGTTTTCTTTAATCAGGGCATTAACAGCCCGATTGTAAGATGGAAAAGCATCATCGATAAGAATAGACTATTTCATTTAATAAATGTTTGGTTTTGATATATATTTGTTCGTGTTTTTTCATCTAAAAAAGCGACATTAATTTCTTGACGACCTAATAATAGGCAATGTCGCTTTAATGGATAGTCATGACAGCAATCTCAATGGAGACTCAATATCGCTTTAATGGATAGTCATGACAGCAGTCTCAATGGAGACTCAATATCGCTTTAATGGATAGTCATGACAGCAGTCTCAATGGAGACTCAATATCGCATTAATGGATAGTCATGACAGCAGTCTCAATGGAGACTCAATATCGCATTAATGGATAGTCATGACAACAGCCTCAATGGAGACTCAATATCGCTTTAATGGATAGTCATGACAGCAGTCTCAATGGAGACTCAATATCGCATTAATGGATAGTCATGACAGCAATCTCAATGGAGACTCAAAGGCGTACAGAAAGTTCAGTTGACGTTTTTTTCAACACATGTTTTCTCTCATTAGTTAGGAAGGTCAAATATTTAATTACAGATTGTCTTATTTACTTTTTTGTTTTAAACTCCGTGTATATAATTAGTCAAAAACAAAATTATGGGTTTTGGTAACAACATTCCACGCTCATGTGGGGGTTATGATTTTACTTAGCTAAAACAAATTTGACCGATTTGGCTGAATATAACTTCTTTAATCTTATAACATAAAGTCTAGGCTAGTTCAGAAAGACAAGACAGCGTACATCCCATAATCTGTGCCTTATACATGTAATTAATGGATGTATAAAAACATGCCGAAATTGTTGGTACGTTGTACATTGTCTATATTTCATTGGTATGCATACATGACTATATAAATGTACTTACCTATTCATCTCTATATGCCAAACAATTTACAAAACCTGAAACTATGCCAAAAACTCGCCATCTAGATACATACATTAAAACTAAAGATAACATTTTATCACTCAACTTTTTCAAAATATATAACCGATGCATTTCAGTTTTGTTTATTCTAGAAATTTTTCGACAGATAAACAGTCTTACTCTGTTTGAAACCTAGGCTTGGTACACGTTTGATGGGAGTTTTTCTGTTCTTCATAAACTGGAACAACTTTTCAAGAAATTCCCTCTCTTTCGTCCATTGCTCTCCTTTCTTAACCTGTGGGAAATGTTAACGTAATAATGTTTCAACTAATAATTGAAAAACATCGTCCGTACATAAATCTTAATAACACAGATCGATCCTTATTTGCTTCGAAGAAAGCCACTGAGCTATACAACACACAAGTCCGTATGGTATTATTGATTGAAAGTTAACGTGATTATATATTCGAGCTTCATGTTTTCTTCGAGCTTCGACAAACTCTCCGATGTCTATGTATGTACTTAAGAATTACTGGTTAGAAACGAGTTGATGAAAAATTCATAAACTACTTTTATCAAAATAAAACCTAGAGCGTTAAGTGACTGGGTAATATATTTAAGACATTACCAACGTAGCTAAAATGTATATTTAATTTAAAGTGGATGGTAAAAACACATAATGCCCAACGGAAAAAAAATATATATACACTTGAATCGTTAATAAAGTGTTCTCTAAGAAACAGAAACAAGTTTCAGTTGATTAATATTGTGAAATAAAAACTGATTAGTCTTTCTTTTCTTTGAATAATGACCATTTTAGTTCATGAATTTCCATAAGTACATATTTTCAAAGATTATTATTATCAAGAATAAGCAACAGGTGTTAGGATTATCTTAGTACTATAGTTCTTCCCAACGTGTAACTAAAATGTAAGCTTGAATCTTAAATGCAAGGGTGAACAACTGGTTAATATTATGAAATAAACTTGAATTTTTCTTTATTGTCTTTAAATAGTTATTGTTGTAATTCTCGAATTTCCATAAACGCAAATTTTCTAAGTTTATTATCGTTATTTTATTATACGTATCTGCTTTACCTTAGTATTATAGTATTTCCCGCCATCTGACCCATTGGAATCGCTACTTGGGGAACCAGATCTTTTTCCCAAAAGCTTCTTCTTTCTTGGACGACCCTTCAGATTTGGAGCTAACAGTACAGAGAAGCAGAATTTCGTTTGGTAAAAACTTGCTGACAAAATACTTAACCTGCTCCATAGCACTCATAACCAAAACTTTGCTGTGTGAGAGAGTCTTACGCTGGTAATCGTAGTGGGGTGTTGACACTGATGAACGTTTAATAGTAAGTTTTAAATTTCTACATAAGAAACCACAGAATGAAAGAAGTATTAATCACATTCCAACGAGAATGGAGAATTTTCAATGTCTGGAATGTGTTTTTATTTT